TAAACGGAAATCAGCAGATTTAACTTAAAAAATACATTTATATAGTCCCTATAATATAATTATGTTACTACAGTAATGTACTGTATTGATCCTAAATCGGATGTTATTTTAATTCACTTAATTATTTATATATGTACTATTAATTTATTTATGTCTAGCAGTTGGTAATCATGGGTTTATTCATGTTGGCATTCTATCGGTTAACAAAGTCAAGAGAATATTATCGCAATCAGTTAAATGTTAGTTCTTTTCCTTAATACTTAACGTATATAACAAGTCTGTTGCAACTTACAAAGCTGTTCGTTACTGATAATTCTTATCTCGATACATATACATTTATACATACGTATGTGTACTCATTCATACGTACGTAGGGTAATGATCGAGAAGACACTATGTCGGATATAGTTTTTTCTAAGTCTGCTATCGAAGAAAACCATGCAGTAGAAATAAGAAGTTGCTTGAATAGAGAAGAGTAAGTAATCATTCTAGTTGTTTATGTACTCTAATTATCTATTGCTACTATTTACTAAACACGAACATACGTTGTATAGTATCTCTAAGTGTGTTACGTGATATAACTTCAAGATTACGTTATAGATTAATCTAGATTAAAACTATATTGCAAAGTAGAAATACAATATATACGTTAGTTACTGTAGTTACAAATAGATATATTTGAAAAAAATGCCTTAACTGTATTTCATAAGGAGTTTTAATATGTGTTATATAAGCAAAAACATTTAATAAGGAAACTGATAATGCAATGTTAAATTTTTTAATTTAGGCCAGTAAGGAAGGTCTTAGATACTTTTTTCTTATACGTTTGGACTCTCAAAGTGCGTTTTAATGTATTTTACGTCAAGTACGATATAGCGTTAGTTGCTACTATCGACGAAGATTCTAGCTACTTGGGTTTATTGGCCCTTATACATTACGATTATACGCGTATTTCTAGTAGTATTTTATTTTCATGTTATTGGAATAACTAAGTTTCTCTTATCTTTTCTAAATGAGTTTTTTTATACATTGCTAGTTACAAATAAAAATAACTCATATATTTTTCTATGTGTCACGGTACGAACTACCGTGAAGAAATAGATATCTAAATTTGGTTAATATAATATAGTGATATTATATTACAACTGGTCACTTATAATAAGAATTACTCTAATTATAAACGTGTTACAGTAAATTTATTGCTGTGCTGTAATGTGTACTGAAATGATTCTGTGAATGGACATATTGTAGTCCGACTGTGAAAAACTAGTTAGTAGATGTTCTTATCCAAGAATTTTTATAAGATGACTTGTGAATGTTAGCTGCTGTAGAAGGGTATATAAACCCGTCAAATAGTTGAGTAAAGCAGTTCTTAATTGTATAGTTGTTTTAACGTAGAATCAAAGGCGTCTAAATTCTTGTGAGATAGTTAAGGGATACTGAATCCCGGAGATTATAGTAATTTAGAGATTTATTTTACGTTATCCTTGTCACGAAGCTGGTTTATGACACTATGATAATGAAAATTTTGTACGATATATCGAAATTTTGTGGACAATTATGACTGATTTCTTTATTTCATTATCATATGCGAACATTGAAACGTAAACAGGTGTTTAAGCACACAGCATGATTGTGGCACGTATCCCATAGTATAAATAGCGTAGATTTTGTACTTTTTTTATTTGTTAATGGACTTAGTGAGTGATAGTCCCGTTAGTACAATAACAACAACTAACAAAAGCGGGCCAACAAACTGTTGATCCAAAAATAAGTTATCGGGCTAATATCGGGTCGAGCTGTTAAATTTGTTATTTATATTCTCTTTCCTTTACTATAAATAGTATTGATGTCATCATTTCTGCTGATACTACACAATAATGTTTTAATAATATCGCCTTACTTTAGCCCAATTAATATTACTATTTCCCCCTCACATGTTATCTATATTATCTTTCCTTTACTGTAAATAGTGTTGATGTCATCGTTTCTGCTAGTACCAATCAATAATATTCTAATTTCGTAATTATCATTACATAATTACGTAAATACAACTGAAATAGTCCTGAATCATGCATGAAGCATGACTATATTTGTAGGTTAAATGTATTACTATTGTATTACTACGACTATTCAAGTTGCAATTACTTTAAACAACTGTAAATATTTACCAATTAATGCTAAGGCAACCACCAACTATAACTGACCTATATACCTTGCTTTGTGCTTAATATTTATAAATATATATTTACTTGTACCGCACCCTAATTAATATCATTGTTGTCCCATCATATGTCATCTATATTATTTTTCCTTCGCTATTAATAGTGTTGATGTCATCATTTCTGCTGGCACTATACAATAATGTTCTAATAATATCGCCTTACCTCAGCCCAATCAATATTGCTATTCTTCCCTTACACGTCATCTATATTGTCTTTCCTTTACTATAAATAGTGTTGATGTCATCGTTTCTGCTAGTACTATTCAATAATATTCTATTTTCGTAATTATCATTATATATATGCGTAATTGTAACTGAAATAGTTGTGAACTATGAATCATAACTATATTTAGATTGCGGTTTCTTTGATATGATCTTTCTATACTAGTCAAACGCTGACTATATAAAGCCTTACATTTGTACATTGAAATCATTTTATAAGGGATTTAGAAAAAATAATCCGGAAGATTCTCTTTGGTCACGAATAAAAGTAAACGGAAATCAGCAGATTTAACTTAAAAAATACATTTATATAGTCCCTATAATATAATTATGTTACTACAGTAATGTACTGTATTGATCCTAAATCGGATGTTATTTTAATTCACTTAATTATTTATATATGTACTATTAATTTATTTATGTCTAGCAGTTGGTAATCATGGGTTTATTCATGTTGGCATTCTATCGGTTAACAAAGTCAAGAGAATATTATCGCAATCAGTTAAATGTTAGTTCTTTTCCTTAATACTTAACGTATATAACAAGTCTGTTGCAACTTACAAAGCTGTTCGTTACTGATAATTCTTATCTCGATACATATACATTTATACATACGTATGTGTACTCATTCATACGTACGTAGGGTAATGATCGAGAAGACACTATGTCGGATATAGTTTTTTCTAAGTCTGCTATCGAAGAAAACCATGCAGTAGAAATAAGAAGTTGCTTGAATAGAGAAGAGTAAGTAATTATTCTAGTTGTTTATGTACTCTAATTATCTATTGCTACTATTTACTAAACACGAACGTACGTTGTATAGTATCTCTAAGTGTGTTACGTGATATAACTTCAAGATTACGTTATAGATTAATCTAGATTAAAACTATTGCAAAGTAGAAATACAATATTTAACATATGTCAACGGCAATTTGCGAAATCTGGCATTCGGCAAAATACCTGAAATACTTTAGGTATTTTGCAGAATTTCCTATGAAAAAAAGCCTTAACTCATACGCATAGCATAATTTTCTAAGAGGAAATTTCTTATGTAATGAAATGAAAAGTGTAGAGATCAAGCTACAAAACTTTAACAAACTTTGCTTCTACTTTCGTTGCATTACGGTCTACTTAACGCTAATACTTTGACACCATAATAAAATTTGGGGAAATAACCGAACAACAATTTATTACAAAACAAAAATCGAGAGAAGTATAAACCGAACGACCTTGCAAATACTTAGCTTTAAGTATTATTAAAATAAATGACAGACTTAAAAACTGTCAATGACCAAACAACCTTTCAAAAAGAAGAACGTTCTAACTTACGACGATTCGACCCCGAAGGCCTTTTAAATTCAACAAGTTCTTCAAGTAAAATCTTCTTCTACTCTCCCTCTAAATTTTCTAATTGCACTATCATTTACAAGCTTCGTAGAGCCGTCAGAGGTATTTAAAACTAAACATTTGCTAACCAATCGCTCTTAAGATCCGTTTTACAAAACTACATTGCACCATTTAAGAAAACAAAAATCACTCAAAGTTCAGACACAATTTACCCTATGATTCCCTTACATAACACTATAGAACTAACAAGCTAACTATAAAAATACATCAAACTTCACTTCTAACATAATTTTTATCATTAATACACTATAAAAGTCTAAAAATCAACCTTTAAACATCAAGATTTAGTCATAAAACAACAGTCCAACTACTTAACAATCAACACGATCTCTGCCAATGTCCATCGTATTTTCCATTTTCCTCACTAAATTCTCCTATATATTTCGGTGCTTACGAATAGATATCATACAAAAATCGGGCTTCACGAACACACATCCTGCAAAACCATACATTCAAATTTTAATATTTTCGTATAGAAGGTTTAATCGATAGCAGTAAAAGTACAATTAGATGCTTACTTGCAGTACACTGCATCGCGACGTGATGGTAAAATACGACTAAGTGGATATTTTATAGCTAATTAAGTTTTATTTTCATATAAGTTAAGCGCCTGATAACTAATCTCTAAGTAGACAATCATAAAATTAGAGTTCACCCTCAAGCAGCAGTTTATAGTACAATTAATTAATTATAAATCTGTGTATCGACTGATACACTATCCTCACCAAGCTATGTAATATATATCACTCTGTTACTCTATTACGGAGTATGGAATGACTAACTGTACAAGTCACTGCTGTTTTCAATCGTTAAAATTTAATAAATTTGGTCGATTAAATTACGTGCAGTAGTTAAAAATTGATGTATCTAGTAATTTTTCGACGGCATTAGAATAAACAGAATTTTATTTTTAAAATATAGTAACCCAGTATAAGTGTTCGATTAGTACAATTTATATTAGGCTGTTTACTATAATCCCATTTACGGTACAGAAGCAATATATTAAATCGAGGTACAAAGCAACATGATAGAATTTGAGTTTATCATTTTATCTGTGTTGTTACTTACTAAATTTAAGAGATTCGAGCGGATTTAATTCTATGTCTTATATATTACTTAAAATATTGAAATAACTCATACCTTATTTTTATGAATATTTTGCACGGAAAAGATAAAGATACATTAAGATATCCCAAGTGAAAGATTTATAATTTATTCAAATAGAAGAAAATAGAGAAATCTATATAAGTTCCGTACCCAATTATATTTATTGATCAAAATTACGAATTACAAGTAACACCGCAATTTCCAAAGGAAAATATCACGTAATCAATATAGTAGAAATCCGCATGAAACTAATATAGAATGAGAATGGTATTTGTTCAAATTCAATTTATAAAACGGAAATCTATCTAAGCTTACTGATTATAAGTGTTTAATAAATCTATTGCAATTTAAAGCAAAGCATCAACTAAGAATAGATCATAACAATAAGGAAAAAATGATATTGTAAATCCAACCTAGAGCGAAAAGATTACTAAGTTATTATGAATCTAAGTTCAGACTCATCCATATCTATTTTACTTATTCTACGATAAAACAAATGTTTCCAAGAGATGAACAGGTCTTTCAAAGCAGCTTGAAGATTCAGCTGAAGGTTCTATCAACTTTACTAGTTGATAGACTCTGCATAACCATTACCTCCTTTAATAGAATCTGAACTGCAGGAAAAAGGAATTTAAATTTATTACTCGCTATAAAACTTCATTTTATACCAGTTCATTGATCTCTTAGCTCACTAAGCAATACTCATCATAGACGGCCAGGTCCGTTTGATGATCGTCTCACTTACGATTGATATATAGAATTTTCTTCGTAACTTTTGATCTCATTCTCCCTGGTGTGGTTGTTTTTATCACTTTAATAGCAAATAAAATCGCAACAAATATGCATAGTTATTACTATAGAATTTTCCCTGCAAGGAAATATTTCACATTGGATTTTAAAAGTACAGGACTAAATACATCCTGATCTATAATATACAGCTCATGATAATGACAAGAAAATATTTACATCTGCTTGATGGAATTGTCAAGAAGCTGTTGAGTGTTTTCGTCACTAGCAATTATAAAGCGCAAAATTAGCTACAATACAATTAGCTGTATCTTATTAACATAATTTCATTTGCGGAGTAAAGCAAAACTAAAATAGGATACGTAGTAACTATCGCAATAGACTAAATTAAAAATAAGAAATAGTCAGATTTATCGAACAGTGTAATTTTTTTAAATTGTCAATGAAGATTTTGCTTTATTCTACATATTGTAAACTAATAATACAGTATGATGATTCATCATTGCTTTGCTGTAGCATGAAAGAATGATTAGAGATACTTTGTGCCCTCAATTAAAAATACTTTATCCACAAAAATTAATTGCTCTCAACCACAAGTTTGCCGTACCAAAGTAGGCTTGAATTATCATGCAGTAAATTAAGAGCTTCTTCTCCAGAACTGATACTACCAAAAAAAGAAATGAATTATTCATCAGATATATATATATCACCAGCATAGATGTAGCTTCTCTATAAGCAAAACCATGAAACCAGTAAATGCAAAATACAGTTTCATATCATACCAATGACGTGAGCCATCATCTACCAAGTCGATACCTTCTTCTGCAGATCTAAAATTAAAAATTGTGGCCTTAATTTATTTTTGTACGGAAAATGGCCATTAAGTCCTATCCAAAGATAATTAAAATTCTTCCGACGTATCACGACTTCAAATTTGTTTAAAAATATTTCTTGTCATGACCGATTAATTATTAATTATCAACTAAAACGATAGTAACTTTCACAGCTCTGAGCTGATGATAATGTTGATCTTGTATCAGTTAATTTGCTGCTACCCGTGGTAATAGAACTTATTATAGCTTTATTATATTCTTGAACCTTATTTGACTTACCTCTCTTGCACAGACTGTTTATCAGCTAAGCAGACACACATTTCTGCAAAACTAAATAATGGACATGACTTAAGCTTCAACAATCAAAAATTCTCTTAAAAAACTTATCCAAGATTTACAATTGGATGTTGCAATTGTATGTTATTTCGACAAAGTTTAAACTACTCCTCTTGTAATGAACAATTATCCGTTAAACTGATGTCTCGCGTAACTCTATAGGCAGCACGAGTTATTATAAATTACGTAGTATATTGCAATCTGTAGTATATACTTATAACTAGTAGTAGATTTATGATCTGACATCTTTATATTCAGAGCATGCCTTACTTCTCTCGGGCTAAAGGATCTTCTATTAAATCAATATTTTCCGTAGTTCTGATATTATTGATGGCAGTGCAGTTTTAGTTTATACGTAGCAAAATTCGATACTCCCTATTGTACATAGCTGTAATTGTTATAGCAATTTCCTAGCTAAATTCTATGTTTTACCGCTCTTGAGCTAAACAATCATCCACTGAATCTATACCATTCCTAGCAATTCTAAAAGCCATAATGTTATCATTTAAAAAATAAATTACGTAAGCAAGGTCTATCGATAAATATACATTATCTTGATACATTCCGCCAGCTATCTATTTCTTACTTCGAACGAGGTGATTTTTTAATTATCGAGTAAGAATCTTCTACTGAACTGAAAATTAATGATATCTTTTCAAGTCGAAATTTAATTTTAATACTGCTGAGTAGTTATAGAATGTATGATAAAATCGTAAGAGTATTCCATACCTCGATTCTTGAAGATTTTGATAGCTTGGGTCATGATCATTAGATTGTTCAGGACTGAAATAACAGTAGAAAATCTCAGGGTCGATTATTTTCCAGGATATCAATAACAATCTATATAGATTTTTGCCAGCTTTTAAGAAAGTATGATAATAATTTTAACATACGGCTATGAAAATTTAAGCCCATAGTGACTTTGAATCATAAATATTTACGTCATTTATAAGCCATTTCGAAATTATTCAAAATTTTAATGTAAATTGTTTACCACAATGAAATTACGATAACGTAATAGATAAAATAGTTATATAAATGCAGTCGAACAAATTTACATGCTAATTAATTGACTTCATCATCATTACCGCTTCTCCTTATTAAAGATTTCTCGGTTATTAATACTGGAACTGTAAAAATTGAAATTATTAGAAGGTGAAAGCTAATTTAACGAAAATAATATCAAAGCAATCTAGCGGAAATAAACATACGATGTAGGGGCTAAATTGAAATCAGGGCTTTGCCCAGGTTCTTTACTACATTACGCAAATACAAAAATGCGCTTTGTCTTATTAAATTGAAAAGCAGTTTAGCTGTTAGAACAAAATTTTATCACTTATGTTCATAAAAGATTACTCCGTGTAAAATAGAATTGTTTTAGCACATAATAAATTATAAAAATGTTAATTTCTAGTTTGCCTAATTCCTGTATTTGGTCAGAATTAAAGTTAAGCTCGGACTTAATAGGTAATTAAGATTGAAATTACTAATTGGCTCCAAGCTTATCGTTCAAGACTTGGATATTTCGATCGCTAGAACTTAAGCAAAGCAGATTCGTTGCTATAACATAGCATTATATAAATATAAAGTGGCGTATATTGTAAGCATAAAAACATGAATTACATGACATTAGATAAATTTCCCTTAATGTTTACGATACTTTCTTCTCTATGTTTAAAGATGATAAAACGTTTAAATTTATATTTCATCATAGTAGCTTACAAGGAAAAATATGCAAAACAGTAAAACAGTATTTTTATAGTAACAGTTTATAAGCCCAAAAATATAGCTTACGTTTTATTGGATGAGCTTTTCTCAGTATTTTCGAAGCTTGCTTCTCTATAATATAAATTATACAAAGAATTAGTTTTATTTTATCTCAGCAATTTATAATTATAAAACGTATAAATTACGCCATATTAATTGCAGCTTCCATATTGATTTGGACTCTGTCTCTATAATTTACAATAAGCAAATCATATCCATTCAGCTTATCATACTAAACATGCAATTCCTCCTGTATGTCTAGGAAATAACGCTGAAGCCGTAATATAACCATCTATTTGTTCGAACATAATACTTTGAAAATTACCACGCTGAAGCCGTAATATAACCATCTATTTGTTCGAACATAATACTTTGAAAATTACCACGCTGAAGCCGTAATATAACCATCTATTTGTTCGAACATAATACTTTGAAAATTACCTATTAACTTCAATTGGAATATCCTTAACTTGAGCGTTTCTATCGACAAAATTTACATTTCGTAGAATCGTAATATAAGCAGGAAATTACAAAGTTGACAAGAAATTTATAAATACTGCTATATTTCATACGTAATATTCGAGGAATCAGCTTTAGTCTCTTGCATGATTTCTTCACTGAAAAAAGCAAACATTTACTTTTAAAATTTATCATACTTTAATCCAACTATTGATGTAAAGAATTGCATCTTACGCGATATTTTATACTATCGAATTACCTCTTTGCCCTAATTTTATCCACCTTCTCGTGGGTGTTAACGTTACTATTAATGAATTAGCTTAGATTTATTACAGGAGAAACATACTAAAAAATTATATTGAGGTTTACGAGAATCAAAAATACTATTTACGCAATATTAGACGAATCTTCCTTTACAATTTGCCCTTTTTCTGCTCTACAATTTTATAAAATTTAAAACGCGAAATGTTGTATTTTAAATAATGTCAACCAAAAGATGAATTCTAACCATTTAATATCATTTACTTACTTATTATTAACTATGTCTTTATCAGCATTTACAACATTTTCGTTACTAAATATTTGAGTCATAAGGGAAATAGTTATAAAAATCTTACGATATTTCAAGTGTATTTACGCTTAACCCTGAATATTCAATACTTAAACCTTGATCATGGGAACTACTTGCAAACATTAGTGGGTAAAATAGTTATGAAAATGTGATTTAAACTAGACAAAGTATATGGATGAATGCTATACAAAGTAACTATAACTATTTCTGGTTCTAAAACGTAACATCGGGCATAAGAAATACTGTAGAAGCCAGTATAGTATAATCAATCTTAGTTAAAATTTTTGAGAGCGAAAAGAGCACCAATTCAGAATTAAAGATTTCCTAATCTAGCCAATACAATTAGTCTACCGATATAAGCTTCAATAGAATCCATAACATAACATAGATTACCAATCCATTGCTGAATTTTCTTCGGCCATTGGAACACTTTCTTCAGTGCAACTTGTAGGTTTATAGAAAGCACATAAATTCTTTAAAGCGATAATCATCTCTACAAAATACTAAAGCAATGAATATTTACCGAGGAGATGAATTTCTTTCAGGAATGTTACCATTTTCTAGCCTAATAATTTAGGAGTAAATAAAATTAACTCACAAACTCATTAATTTTTCTGAGTGAAATAATTTACGTTCTAATATCAATATGAGAAATTTATGAATTACTTTGGAGTAAGTATATTGGTATTCGCTTTATTAACGGATACGAGCCTATATAAGTAAAATACGAGTAAAAGCAACAACATTTCTGAAAGCTGTTAATGGATGAAGGATACCAAATATGTTCAAGTTACCCAATAACGGGTTCAGATTTGTCAATAATGTTCAAATTTCTTTCACTACAGTATTTGACATATGTGTAAGTTAAATTGCGCACTTTAAAGCAATTAAATTGATAACGTATATCAAATTACTTCTGAGGTTCCGAACTATCATTCTGAGTTTCAAGTTCCACACAATTACTGAAATTAAAAACAAAATCTAGTCGTATTTGTTAACGAGTTAAACCAACAAAATTTTGTGACGATTTTACTTTCGAATATTTGAGCTATCTTCTATCAATTTATCATGCCCTCCATTTTTCCTGCAGCAAAAGTTATGGACAATTACGACTTTTAAGAAATGAATATGTCAGCATTAAATATTCAAATCTGTAAAGTTGCAAGAATGCACATTAAAGCAAAATATCGCAGTATGATTCTAAAGAGCAGATAATAATAGATCTTATAAACGGATGACTAGAATTTCTGACGGTGGTAACATTATGGTTTGATTACAGATAAAAGTATTTTAAAGGTACTAAACAAAAGTAATGCAAATATTTTATGTTAACGTAAGAAGGTATTACGAGTAGTCTAGAGCGTTAATTTTCAAAGTTTGATAATTTTCTTTCCTAAAAGTTATACGCAAGTAGCACAGTCCAAAAGGTAAGAAATATCTTTATTTCCAAACCGTTTCATCGATCCTATAATTTTAGTTAAATGATTTCAATTACCGAATAATAACTAATTTGTCTTTTTCTGATTTCGGAAGCTCTTCGCTGCTACATAGAAAATAAATAAGATATTTATAAACATAGAATTAGGCCAATAAGCACTCATAATCAATGGCCGAAAACAAAAAGCTGCTAGTTGTTATGTAAGTAACCGTTGAATGGCGACGTCCCTGTTCAATACTTGAGTATTTTCTTTATAAGGATGGCTATCTTGTATATCTTTATTATTAATGTGGCAATGTTGCATATTGTCGTTATTAATAACGATATTGTCTTGTGTATTTTCATTATTGATGCGGCCATCTTGTGTATTTTCTTCAAAAGTATGGCTAAATTATGGTTTAAAAGCATTAAAAACAGAAAATTAATTAGAAGTTATGGATGTTAATATCCTTGATAACTAAAATTAATTTCAAGATAGCAGTAATTAAGGATTACGCCTGTTTGGCTAGGTTTTCATCTGGTTGTTCCAAGCTTTCCTTTCTGAAAGGTAAAATTAAAAAAATTTACTTCTTAAGTCAAACTTAGCGCCATCAGTGTCTTTAAATCCTACATATTTTAATAAATTAACTCACGTCGGAACCGGTAATTTCTCAGCTGGAGTTTCATTTCCCTCACTCGTAGATAAAAATATGTACAAGTTTACGTGTATATTTAGTAAATTGCAAGGCTTAAATACGTTTAAATTGAAATCATTTTGACTATAAAATTCACGTCAAAACAGGTGATTTCTCTTTTGGAGTTTCTTTTCCCTTATAGCTAGATTAAAATATGTACAATAGTTTAATGATAAAATTTAATACGTTATAAAATCTAAACATGTTCTTATTTAAATATTTTAATTATAAGATTTACGTCATATCTAGTAATTTTTCCACTGGACACTCCTTTTCCTCGCTCCTAGATAGAAAGATATAAAAATATACGTATAAACTTTAGCAAATTTTAAAAATTAAAGGTGGTCCTACCTAAGTCTTTTTTAACTATAAAACTCACCCCAAAACAGGAAATTTCTCTACTGGAGCTTCCTTTTCCTCTTCTCTATGTAAAATATTTAAAAATTTATTTATAAAATTTTAATAAATTATAAAATTCAAATTAGATTAGCTAAAATTGTTTTAACTATAAAACAAACATTAAAACGGCTAATTCCTCTACTGAAGTTTCCTTTCTTTCATCGCTAAATAAAAATATTCAAAAGCTTACATGAAATTTCATAATTGCGAAAATTAAATATGTAATAATTAATCAT